TCCGATTAGAATAATCGATTGCTTCTTGACTTTATTTTTTCAAAGTCGAACCACTAGTGGACAATTATTGCCCGCTTTATCATAAACAATGCACGTGCAATGTTAAATGGGTGTTTGGTGTAGATTAAAATCAGATTTTAATTAGATTGTGATAGAAATTTTTAAAATGTGTGATTGAAAAGATGTGGGACCCATGAAAGATGTGATTGATATTGATTGTTTGACTTTGACTTCAATTAAAATCAGATTAAAATCTGGCCCAAACGGCACTAAGTGTTGTGTTTTGATAAATAAAAAAAACTAAAAAAACGAATTTTTATCTCTCCTCGACCAATTCCTAACTTATATATGAAAAGAATAAGAATAATAAAAGGAATAAACTCTTAGTATAGATGATAAAAATAAAAAAAAATGGTGATGAGAAATTAATAAAGCCCATATTATATGGCAACGTCAGTCCAAAAAAACCTGCATAAAAATAAAATAAAATAAAAAATAAAGCAAAAGGAAGCTTCCTTCGTAACCCCCGGAACTTCTTCGTAGTGGCTCCCTCCAACATCTCATTTCAGAGGGAACCTCAACTATATGCTTTCCTTTTTCTATTTGTTCATCACCCTCACTCATCGTTCTTTCGATAAAAACAATTTCCAACGGTGTTTCGTTATCCAATTATGCATTGTCACGTAGATTTAAAATTTTTTAAGATTTTATATTTTATATAGCATATTTGTCTTGCAAGTTACGAAGATTGTAAGGAATAATCTTGAAATGCAATCACTAAATAACTAGTACAAATTAAAGCGTACATAAAACTTTAATCTTGTCGAGGAGACTCAAATTTTGTAGAATATCAATGAAAATCTACATATAAAACCAACATTTCTATGTCTATACTTCCATCAATGGAATCGAACCATATCACAATTGATTAGTTATAGTTTGATTACAGTCTAATTTTATTTATATCCCAAGAGAGATTCAATTGAATGTTAAGCCTCGGTTTTGCCCTCATTATTTCTCGTTAAATTCTAATTCATTTTTTATCTTTTCTTATCAACAATATATTTTTCAATAAAATAATATTACACGTTAAACCAAAAAAAAATCATTCTTTTTTTACCACACATTTTCCAAAATATTAATATTCATCTCATTATAATGTGGAATAATATGGCCAATAAATCGATGAATTTTATCATCTGTTTGGTTTTACTAAAAATCAAATTTTTCATAGATTTGACATAAGTTAATGTAATATGGGATTGAAAATTTGGTAAAAGTCATGAGCACGTAAAATGTGTAGCTTAAAACGAGTTTAAAAAATTAAATTTTAAAAAATGAAGACCAAACAAGGACTTGCGTGTTTCTCGATTCTTAAACTTATAACCGGTAAATTAGAACTGAACCAATTAATTTGGTTATGAGAAAGATGTCTAACCCTAATAGTTAGTTCTCAAAATTGGTTCTACACGTAAATCAAGAAATATTATAATGGATTACATAATGTCACATGACACTACTATTTATTAATTTAAAATACAATTAATTTTTTTATCCATCATGTTACGTAACTTTTTATGTACAATTTTGATGTCCAAGGAGCAAAATCTACTAATTAATTATACATTGGTTAGTCTTTATTGGCAGGCGGTAAAAAGCACGGTGGATCCGTGGAAATATTCATTTCTTTCTTTTCAGGCACGTTCTAAATGAAAAGTGTGTTGTAAGAAATGGCAAAATCAAAAAAGTTAAGTACATTGTAAGCAATTATATATGTCAAGTTCCGACAAACCTGGCAGAATTTATTGTGTCAATTGGTCGGTTTAAAAACATAAACCAGTCTTTCAATTATACCAGTTGTATGTCCGTACAATGCATTGGCTTTGATATTTTTAAAATCATATCAAATATTAATGAAAAGCTAAATTGTTGTAAAAGTTTAGAAAGTTTTTTTCTAACATAATAATTAGTAAAATTTCATAATGATAATATTCTAGTAAGATTTAAATGAAAAGTTTTTTGTAACCTAAATTTTTTCCAATGAAGAAATTAATGGGGATAATATTAATCTTTCTAAGCTTGCTAACCTTTGACGATTCATATTCGTGCTATGTACTAAAATATTTATAGTACCCACTGAACAATGAAGAAAGTTATTTTGAACACTAATTAAATAAA